AGGCAACATCACGGGAAGGTCTCAGCCTCTCTGCCCTGTTGTTGGCCCTTCAGAGGAACTGGTCAGCCACTGTGTGAGACTGGACCAGATGAACTATTGGCCTGATTAAGCAGGGCTGTTCTTATGTCCTTATTAAACAGCCTCTAGAATTAATTGTTTCTGTCCCCGCCCCCCACCATTGAAATCTTTGAGTGGAAAACTTTTGCTTTTCAGTCCAATGGCTCTTCCTGTTGTTTCCCTCCCCCGTCTTTCACAGGTACTTCCGAAAGAACTAAATGTCCCCCCAAGAGAGGTTCCCTTCCTCCCTCTTTGCTATTCTTTCTAGTGGGTCAGCACAGTTGGATCTCCTTATCCACCCCCGATTACTCATGCTTAAGTTCCAGGGAAATCAGCTGGACATTCGGTTTCTTCACCAGCTTTTTAAAATTTGTATAACTTTGTCCTGTGCACTTGTCAGCACTAGAAATAGAACAATTCCATAAACAAACTTGTGGAGAGGTTGTTGTTGTTGTTGTTGTTGTTGTTTTGGGGGGGGGACAGACACCAGTGCATTTGCACACCACACGCTCACGGCTTCGAACAACCATTAGTCTTGAGTCCCCTTTTCTTTGGCAGGGATGTTGATTTGCCGCATTTTAAGAAGCGATACCAAGAGTCCCTGGTGTCCTTTTCCACAGAAGTCGACGTCAATGAGTATTTTGCAATGAGGGTGTTTTAAATTTCTTTAAACAAACACCCGGTGAGTGGAGCACAAGCAAGGAGGCTCCTGAAATCATTGTGGCCTTGCACAAGGGTGTGAAAAGTGGGCGGATAGTCCTTCTGGTTTCACTGACTGGCTTATCTCCTAGGTCATGCATGCCTATTACGAGAAGGCCGTGTGTCCGAAGTCCAGTGGTGCTGTTTTCCTGGCAGTGTGTCGTGGGAAGGTACATTTTGTTTCCTTAAAAGAACACCCTAGGCTGTGTATGCAGATGGTTGTTTCTGTAAATGACTACCTGCAGGGGTGATTCATGCATCCAAATGCTGCAACTGTCCAGTAGCACATCACAAAGCTTTAGGAAACACTTAGCCCAGTAATACTCCCCTTTCCAGGACCGTTCCTTAGAGCCTGTGTTTCACTAGCTTTGTAAAAGCTTTTCGGTTACCACATACCACCTTTTCTAGATGTCCCAAGGTCTTGTTTCTCTTGTGTGCCGCAAAGACAGCATCTAGCCCAAAGCACAAACTCTTTTCTCTGTGGGTAGCTCAAGACAGGTAGCCATTTCAGCCTGTCTGTAGCAATAGAAAAGAGCCAGAGTGCAGTAGCACCTTAAAGACTAACAACATTTGTGGTGGGGGTGAGCTTTCCTTAGTCGCTGCCGAGGTTCATGCCCATCCCTACTCAGACGTAGAAGAGGAGGAGATTGGATTTATACCCCACCCTTCACTCGGAGTCTCGGAGCAGTTTACAATCCCTTCCCCTCCCCACAACAGACACCCTGTGAGGGTAGGTGGGGCTGAGAGAGCTCTTTCAATGACTACCCTTGAGAGAACAGCTCTGACAGAACTTGTGGCTGACCCAAGGTCACACCAGCAGCTGCACGGGGAGGAGTGGGGAAATCAAACCCAGTTCTCCCAGATTAGAGTCCGCCGCTCCTAACTGCTGCACCAAACTGACCCCAGGCTGAGCTTCTGAGGAACTTCAGGGTTCCTTGGCACAGCCTGGGATTCTGCAGCCTTTCGACAGCATCGACTTTTTTTTTTTGCAAAATTGTGGCCTAAATCAAATAAACAAATACTCTTTGCGCATTCCGAGCAAGATGAAAGCTACAACATGCATGTGTTTACTTTGGTTGGTTCTGGAAGAGAACATGCGAGGTGTGCTTTCCTGCCCTGTACTGTCTTCAGTTCTCGCAGCCCTCTCCCTTTGCGTTAGTTAAGGCCCTAGGGTACATGTGCCTCCCTTGCGGAGGCTGTCGAGAAGCATATCCCAGTGACCGTGGCTCCATATGGATATAATGCTTATATGCCTAGGGCCCTTTGCGTTAGTTAAGGCCCTAGGGTACATGTGCCTCCCTTGCGGAGGCTGTCGAGAAGCATATCCCAGTGACCGTGGCTCCATATGGATATAATGCTTATAAATTTCTTATGTTTTCTGGCCTAGTCATGGAGAGTTTGTTATTTAAAACATCTGTTAACTGCCCTTTGACCTTGCGGAGCTAAAGGGGATTACCGTGTAAATCAATCAACAATTATAAGAACACATAGAAGACGACAGTTTAAAATCCCCCGTCAGGACTGCCAGTAAAATAAAAACTAAATTAGTCAAATGCAATCCTAAATAAAAAACGTCTTCCAACTGTCCCCTGAAAATCGAAAGCGTGGGGGCCAGGCCCACCTCCTTGGGGTGGCTGTCCCGTAATCATGGGGGCTGCCACCAAAAAGGCCCTGTCTTATGTGGCCACCAGACCAAGCTTCTTTGGTGGGACATTCCGGAGGGACACTGAGAATGTCAGTATCAGAATTGTACCTTCCGAGCAGCTGTTGACCCTTGGGAAGTCTGTACCATCAAGATGTCCGGGAGACCTTGACAGATATTGCATGTGGGAGTGATTGTCAGTGTCACAAGCCTTCACGTGGGGACTGTATTCTATTAAGCAAGAATATTTGTCATTTACTTAAACACTTTTCCTAATTGTGGGGGGTTGCGGTAGAAGGAAGACATTGGAGAGATTTATTTATTTACTTGGTTCGTTCCCCACTTTTCTCCCCAGTGGGGACCCAAACCAGCTTACAACATTCTCGCCACCACCATTTTATCCTCACAACAGCCCTGTAAGGTAAGTTAGGCTGAGAGGGTGTGACTGGCCTAAGGTCGCCCAACAAACTTCCATGGCATGAGTGGTGATTTGAACCTGGGCCTCCCAGGCCCTAGTCCAACACTCCCTGTACTTTAAGAGAGCCAATTTGGTGTAGTGGTTAGGAGCATGGACTCTAATCTGGGAGAACCAGGTTTGAGTCCTCATTCCTCCTCATGCAGCAGCTGGTGTGACTTTGGGTCAGTCACAAGTTCTGTCAGAGTGGTTCTCTCAGGGCAGTCCTCGAGAGAGCTCTCTCGGCCCCACCTGCCTCCCAAGGTGTCTGTTGTGGGGAGGGGAAGGGAAAGGAGATTGTAAGCCGCTCTGAGTGAAGGGTGGGGTATAAATCCAATCTCTTCTGTCTCTTCTTCTCTCTTGTAACCACTACACCACACTGCCCCTTCCACTTGCTGGTGAAGGAGCACTTCTGTCAGCAAAAGCTAAGGGTAAGATCCAGGCCATCATCTCAGTAGTCCTTACAGTTAACCATAAAGTAGGTCAGTGTTGTTTCTCTCATTTTACAAAGAGGTGCGGAGAATGCCCGGCCTAAGCCGTATAGCAGTTCATTCATAGGTGAAACGTGAACTGGGGACTTTCTTCCTGGTTCAGCGCTCCTAACAGCTATGTTAGGCTACCGTAGCCATGAAGCGGCCATAAGGCTAAAAGTACCCAAAGACTCTTGCCAGCATCTTGGACTAATTGCACAGGAGCCCATAGTTCAGTTTTTTAAGTGCACCATGTCGCCCCCCATAAACTCCGCCATTTATGTGCAGCGACTCTGCCTGGACCCAGCTCTGCTACTCTGGTGTCCGACTTGGATTTAATGACAGCGGCAAGTGACAGACTCCACGCCCACGAGCCTTTCGAAACAAACCAACATGTAAGAACTCCTCGTTGTCAATAATCTGTCCCATCGGTGACGCGAAGCATTCTTTCGTCCGCAGGCCAGTGAAGGTTTAGACTTTGCCGACAAGAACGGACGAGGCGTCGTCATCACCGGACTTCCTTTTCCTCCTCGCATGGACCCGAGGGTTGTGCTGAAGATGCAGTTCTTGGACGAGATGAAGTGCAAAAATGGCGGTCAGGTAAGGAGCCACCTTTCGTGCTGGTGATTTAAGGACCTGAGCTGGATGGCCTAGGCTGGCCTGATCTCATCAGATCTCGGAGGCTAAGCAGGCCTGGCCTTGGCTAGTGTTTGAATGAGAGAGCACCAAGGAATTCCTGGGTTGCTGTGCAGAGGCAGGCAATGGCAAACCACCTCAACCTGCAGATAGTACTGAACGTTTTCCAGAGTTCTGCCAGGTTCCCATCTGGTCGCTACTAGAGATGTGAAGGCCCGGGAAAAAAACGGAAAAATTTGGGGGGGAAACGTTTTCCCCCCATTTTTTCCCTGAAGCCTTTTTGTTTTTTTCCGAAAAATTGGAAAAATTGAAAAAAGAAGAGAAAAGAAATTGATTATGGAACGTTTTATTTTAACATGATGAATATATAATATTTTAAGACCAGGTGTTCAAATATTTTCCAAATCATTTCTAAAATACATATATATGGTATCAGATTGATGTAATTTCTGTGCACTGAGGACAAGCAAGTCCTAGGTTACAAACTGAACTCTCCAATGCAAGAACAAGATGCATTTCTTCCTTTAGGAGGTGCGATTGTCAGAAGAAAATAAAAAGGTTTCAGTTTTGTTTTTGCATGTGGGTGGGTATTCTGTTTGTAATAATTGTTTGGATACACTATATTTTTAATATGCTAGTTGTGATAAATTTCATGCCAAGTAAAGATGTCCATAGTCATGTTTTATGTTCCTAAAGTAACAGAATGACTTTCAAACTAGAAAAGACAAAAGAAATGCTAATGTAGCATTTTTTTCCATTTTTCCGAAAATTTCGTTTTCTCCCGGAAAAAAAACGGGGTTTTTTCCGAGCTTCAAAATTTCCGGAAATTTTACATCTCTAGTCGCTACACACCCAGTCCAGGTACATTAAGACCAGATCAAGTCTCATGCCTCTAAAGACGAGTAGGCAGTCACTTAGTGGGCGGGGGGGGGGATTCTTCTCACCTCCCCAGTCCCTTTTGCCTATTTGTTCATCTCCCACCCCATATCTAGGGCCTGTCTGGAAACACCTGGTACAAGCAGCAGGCTTCCCGTGCGGTGAACCAAGCCATCGGCAGAGTCATCCGGCACAGGCAGGACTACGGTGCCATCTTCCTCTGCGATCACAGGTGAGGTGATCCTTCTTCTTGCTCCATGTAGCTTGCCCTTTTCTCAGTTCCTCTTGCTGGCATCCTGTGCCTCTGCTCTCACCTTTTTGCGTCACCATCATGGAAGAAGAGCTCAAAATGGTGGTGGACACTAGGAGCCCTTCCTTTTGATGGTGCTGTGTGGAAGATCCTTCTTTCCCCAAACACGAGTGAGGAAATGAAGTGGGTACCAAGGAGGGAGGGGGAGAGAGATTGGAGATTCTGGCCCTGCTGTTGGACCTTCTGATGGCCCCTGGGTTTTGGCCATTGTGTGTCACAGAGTGTTAGACTGGATGGGCCACTGGCCTGATCCAGCATGGCTTCTCTGATGTTCTTCTGTCTGGGGCAGGGGTGCTCTGTCTTCTTGGTGCTTTGGGGGCAACAGTGGGAGGGCATCTGGAGTTCTCACCCCACTGGTGGACCTCCTGATGGCCCCTGGGTTTTGGCCACTGTGTGACACAGAATGTTGGACTGGATGGGCCATTGGCCTGATCCAACGTGGCTTCTCTTATGTTCTTATATGGAGCAGAGGTCCATGAGGGGCTATTGGCCACAGGGTCTAGATGGGACACTGTGCCTGGGACAGTGATGCTTTGTATTCTTGATGCTTGGGGGGCCACAGTGGGAGGGCTTCTGGGGTTCTGGCCCCCACTGGTGGACCTCCTGATGACACCTGGGTTCTTGGTCACTGTGTGACACAGAGTGTTGGACTGGATGGGCCATTGGTCTGATCCAACATGGCTTCTTTTATGTTCTTATGTTAAGTGTCACTGGATTTCATACCTAGAAATATTTTCTCCTGCCAGTGACCATTGTGTGTGAGCACATAGATTTTAAATTTCATTTTCATTTCAGGTTGTCTTGAGGGTGTTTTGCAAACCACGCATGACTTGGAAATAGTTGTTTTGAATATAGCTGATTGATATTCATTTTTTGTTTCTATGTTTTTAATTCCCAACAGGTTCGCCAATATGGATACCAAAGCCCAGCTGCCTTCCTGGGTGCGTCCTTATGTCAAGACTTACGATAATTTTGGGCACGTGGTCAGAGATGTGTCTCAATTCTTCCGTGTTGCACAGAAGATTGTAAGTATCCTTGCAATGAGAGATGAAAACTATCATTTGTATTCAGTCCCATAAAATAGGAAAGGGATTACCATTATATAGATCCTCCTAGGGACATAAGGGTGACCCTTTAATATTCCCAGGATTCTGAGGTACTTTAAACACAGTATGCTCATAACTTCAAAAAACATAAGGATCCCTGCCTAAGAGTCACTGACAGAACTCCTTAAGAGGAAGGGTTGAAGGATCTGGGTATGTTTAGCTTGAAGAGGAGACAACTGAGAGGTGATATGATAACCATCTTCAAGTACTTGAAGGGCTGCCCTATAGAGGATGGGGCGGAGTTGTTTTCTGTTGCCCCAGAAGGTCGGACCAGAGCCAGTGAGTTGAAATTAAATCAGAAGGGTTTTCGGCTAAACATGAGGAAGAACTTCCTGACAGAACGGTTCTTCAGTGGAACAGGCATCCTCGGGTGGTGGTGGGCTCTCCTTCTTCGGAGGTCTTCAAGCAAAGGCTACATGGCTATCTGACCGCAATGCTGATTCTGTGAACTTAGGCAGATCATGAGAAGGAGGGCAGGAAGGGTTGCCTCAGTGCTTAGTTCTCGTGGCCCTTTCTTACACGCCCAGGGAAATGCTGATTACCACCTTGGGGTCAG